ATTGTGATTTTATGTTTGCAAAAGTTCTTGGATTTGATTTTGTTTGTTGCATTTTTTGGTAATGGCTTTTTGGTTTAGATTTTTCGATGTTTTTTCAAGTGTTGATTTTTTTTTTGTGGGATCTTATTTTTGTGTTTTTTACTTTAGTTTTTTCGTTGTTCTTTTAAAGATTTTTTCGTTGGTTGCATTGTTCTTTAAGTTTGTTCGTTGGCCTTTCTGTTTAATTTTTTTTTTGATTTTTTTTGTTGTGGTTTGTATTTTTTTGTTGATTTTATTGTGTTTTTCATTTTTTGTTTTTTATTTTTATTTGTTGAGGGTTTCATTTTTTAAAGTTTTGAAAAATTGCTATTTTTTTTTGATGATTATATTTTTGGTGTTTTTTTAGTTCATTGTTTTCGTTGGTTTTATGTTTTTTTTTTTATTTTTTTTTCATTTTTTCGTTTTTTTCGTTGGTTTTATGTGTTCATTTATTTGTCTGGTTGGCTTTATATTTCATGTTTCATTTTACTGTTTTTTGATTTTTGTGATTATTTTCTTTCTTCTTTAATTGTATATTAGTTTTCGTGTTTTTTTGTTGTCTTGCTTTTTGTTTTTTTTCATTGCTTTAGTTGTTTCAGACGTTTTCTATTTTATTCATGTTTCTGTTCTCTACTATTTAGTTTGTTGTTTTTTGTTTTCTCTGGAAAGTTTATATTCTTTTCTATATACATTCCAGTGTTTTGTTATGTTTCTTTAGTGTTGTTTATATATTTGTTTATCTATATATATATATATATAGTGTTTCTTTGTTGTTTCCTCTTTATTGAATTATATTTTTCATTTGTTATATATGTTTTTTGTTAGCTCTATTGTTCCTTATATGATTTGGTTTAACTAGTTAACGATACCACATTATTTTGAACTATTATTGTTGCAGATGGTTTTTAATTGCAATGTACTTGTATTTAGTAAAGAGGATCTCTCCCAATCACTTGGCTTGTTTTTTACTGGAAAGGTAATCTTGACATGATGCTGCGGATTTTAGCCGCCCACCGTTTTGCACGTCATACAGCGAAACCCGGGCAGAAAACAAATAAAATAAGTTCGCGGACTGAACTTCGGGGCTGGATCCTGGACCCGTGAGAATTAGCAGGGGGAGGTGTCCTGCCATGGCGTCGACAACCTGCTCGGCCGGCTCCCTACGGTCCCGGCGGTCGAGGTCGATGTGACTTTCACTGCGGCCAATCTGCTTCGAGTTGCGGGCCGCTTGCAGAGCAAAGCTGGTGGGCCGGACGATTGGGATATCTGCCACTTCCAGGCCCTTCCCCAGGAGTTCCGGGAAGCCCTCGCGGCACTATGGCAGACTGTCTACTCGTCTGGTCGGGTGCCCAAGCGCTGGCGGGAGGCGCGTGTTTGTTTGGTGCCAAAGGCTGCGGGCGGGCATCGCCCCATCTCGGTCCTTAGCATTGCCTATCGGCTCGGTGCTTCGGTGCTGTCTCGTGAACTCCGGCAGTGGACGGATCAGTGGCTCGGAGTTCGCATCATGGGTGGCTTCCATGGCAGGGCCACTCGTGATGTCTTCATGAGAGTTCTTCATGCTGCCGAGGATCGCTTGGCCATGTTTGTCGGGGAAGATGTGAACAAGTCTTTCGACTCCCTTACTGGCCCTCACGTGCTCCGAGGTCTTAAACACTTGCAGGCTCCACCACAACTGCTTGGCTTCGTTGAGTCTATCATGAAGGAGCAGTGGCGGGTGTTTTCATCGCATGGTCTCCTTGGCGCTAGGTGGCACTTGGCCACAAAAGGTGCTGCGCAGGGAGATCCGATCTCCTCCCTCCTGGCCGGCGCGGTCATGTGGGCATGGACCTCCTGATTTTCTACTGGAGACGCTGAAGCTGTCGCCTTCGTCGACGACAGGAGCTTTTGGAGTTCTTCTGGAGCCGGGCTGCTGGCCGCGAAGCGAAGGAGTGAGGAAATCGATATGGCCTTTCAGTTTCGCTGCGACACTCGCAAGTGTCAGCTTGCGGCCAGAGCTCAAAGTCAGGGCCGTGAGATGGCCGGTTCTTTTGGCTACGCCTTTCGGCCGTCGCTGGACATCCTGGGCATCGTCGTGGACATCGCTGGCAGAGCGCCTCCTGTGCTGGCGCGGTACGCCCACGACGTTGCCAACGTCCGTGTGCAGTGCATCAACGCGGTCGCCCATGGCATGTGGCAGCGGTCCTTTCACATAAAGCCTTTGGTCATGCCGATGCTTTGCTGGGCAGGGGCAGTGGCTTCCATCCCCGGCTCGGAAACTCCATCCTGGCGGTGACAAACTACAAGCATGCATGCGACACTCCGGCCATCGTTGTGTGGGAGATCATGGGATGGGAATGCTGCCCTAGCTTTGCTCGCCGATGGTCCGCTCTCCGGGACGCCATCGCGCTGACCTGCAGGCCCCCGGTCTGGCTGGAGGACGCGGACTTAACCTTTGCGGCGAAGCGGTGGCCTTCCCTGCTGCCCCTCGCGGCGGAGGTCCTTCGTGAACTTGGCTGGTGGACGGATCGCAGGGGCACTGTCATCCGGCGCCGTGACTCTGTGGGAAACCTTCGCTGTTTCGAGCTTGGGGTGGACTCTCCTGACGTTCTTTGCGAGTGGTTGCGTGACTGGCACAGGGCTCGTGCTTTGGCTTCCACCAACAGGGTCGCTTCCTCTCTTCATCGGGGAGACCAGGGACTGGCCGGAGGTGTTTTACTTCCCGCAGTTCCTCGTGGCAGTTTGGTCTTGCTTCGAGGCCACAAGGAGGCTTACGATGGCGCGGACAGTCGCGTCCGCCGCAACTCGGCTTTGGCCACGGGATGCTCAGTGTGGGCCAAGGCGGCCAAGCGTTGCTGTGTCGCTCATGCCTCCTTGTGAATGCGGCTTGGCTTGCCCTAGCAGGCCCCACCTGCTGTGGCAGTGCCCGGGGACAGCATCGCTTCGCCCTCGTTGCGCTGCACCTGTGAATCGATGTGAGGAGCGACTCCTCGCGAAGGTTGTGCCCGAGCAGCCGCCTCCGCCCGCGGTGGTGGGGCGAGATGACACCATCGAGGCCCTTGCGACTCAGCTGGACGTTCTCTTTGAGGATTCTGCCACTCTCTATGTCGGCACGGATGGCAGCACCGTCACTGAGGTAGGTGCCTGGTCGGTTGCAGTTCAGGGTGGAGAGACCTTCGCCTGCGGCATCTGTGCCGAGGATCAATCCCCGTACCGCGCTGAGGTTGAGGGCCTCTTGGGCCTGTTGGAAGCTGTGCAAATGTGCCGACGCCGTGGCTCCATCGTCGTCGTATGCGACTGTCAAGCTGCCCTGTTGGCCCTCGACGGCAAAGGTCAGTCCTGCATACTGGTCCAGCGGGTTCGAGAGCGTCTACACTCTTGCATCTCGATGGGTTTCTTCTTGTCTTTTTACTGGGTGCCGAGCCATGGCAAGATGGCCCCACCACGGTGGTTGGTGCCTCCTGGTGGCGAGATGTTGGCCCGCACCCTCAACGGTCGCGCCGATGTCGCGGCTCGGGCTTGCGCGTCCAGGCGGGCTGCAGGAAGTGGGCGGGAGCGCTGCCATGCCGCGCGTGCTGATGCCTTGGTGTGGGAAAGGGCTGCGATTGATGGCTTGTGATCCATCGCTGCCCATTACGACTCCCTGTGAGCTGTCTTGCTTCGTGGCTTCTACGGCTTTGGCACCGTGCTGTCACACTTTGAAGACTTGAGTGTACGACATCATCGATGGGGGGCCTGGGGCCGTGGGCCCTTGCCCTTACTGCGAGTCCGGTGAGGCTGGCACGTGGCGGCATGTGGCATGGCACTGCTCAGGATTTGATGCTTTTCGTCAGGGATGGTCGCCTCCTGCAAATGTGCTTTCTGCGCGTGTTGGCTGGCCGGTTCGCAGCGGAGGACGATGGAGGGATCCTGTTGGCTTTCTTGCCAGGATCCGTGCCTTCATCTTGGAGCGGAGGTGAGGCACTCCTCGGCGTGCTCATCTGTGGGTGGGGCGTCGAATAAGATGTTTAAGGGTGTGATGTTTAAGCTTTTGGGTTTTTGGCTTAGTGTTTAGGGTTTAAGGTTCAAGGCAGGGTTTAGTTAGGGTTCAGGGTTTAGGGTTGTTTGGTTTAAGGTTGAGGTCTTTATGGTTCCAGATTTATGGTTGGCGGGTTAAAGTTTGGGTGTCGGGTCTAGGGCTAAGGCTTTAGGTTAGGGTCAGGGTTGAACAAGTTGTTTACGGCTTGGGCTTTAGAGGGCCCCACGCCTCGCATAGAAATCGGAACCCCAAACCCTCAACCAACAAGCGCTACCAGCCAACCCACAAGCCCAATCAACCAAGCAACCAACCCACCCACCCACCGACCGACCGACTTGACCAACCCAGCTAGCCTACCCAGCCAACCAGCCAAGCCAACCAAGCCATCCAGCCAGGTTGAGGTAGGTTTGAAGAGATTTTGTCCTGGCGCTATGTTAGTCGTAGTAGAAGTGTTAATGTTGATGTTTTCGTGGTCATTGTAACGGTAGCACTGTTCCTCCCGCTCCTCCTCCTCATCCTCCTCCTTTAACTGCTTCTGCTGCTACCACCAATATCACCACGATCCACCATGACACCACCGATTCTAATTGTTACCGTGGTTGGAATGAGTATTGGAGCGAAGGGCTATGAGACACTCAGCCAAGGTTTCCGCTTTTGTGGGCTGCACAATCGTTGAATTCTTCAATTTCTGATGTTGAAGCCTTTTTCGGCCTCCAGAATGAACAGGGGCCCTTGCATCTTTGAGCAAAGCCGAGACAATCGCATTCGCGTTGAAAGTGCAGCCATAGTGCGAGGAGAGCCTACGCTTGTTTCGGCAATCAGATTTAAAAATTGCTGATTGGGGGAAGTTGCAGGCTCCCAGCCAATTTGCACCAAACTGCCAGTTTTGTCGCGTCCCTCCACCTGAGTGTAGCTTATCGAGCTTGTAGGCGAAGTTCGAAGGCGCCCGAGCACTATAATGATGAACTTAGTACGTGCTACGCTCGTAAGGAGGGACATTTTCTCCAGGAATGCAGGTGGCACTCCCGTCAATTCTCCCTGGCGTCTGCAGTTCTCTGTGCAGCATAGATGCAGCATAAATTTAAAGCAGATTTAAGCATGGAGACTAATAATGACATGTACCACTGCAGACTCCAGACAGTTATCCCAGACCAACTCTTTGCAATAGCACTTCCAGGAACGGCTCGAAGAGCACGTGGAAAGTTCGGAAAGTTAGGCCTCGCCACAAAGCGCAATTTCAAAACAGGGACGAGAGCTGAGTGCCAGGTTGGTTGCAGATCTTGCAGTCGAATTCTGTCGTGTTGCAGTCTTCTGCACCTACGCCGATCGCATGGAAGGCGCTCGCATCCCGCAACCGCTGCAGTGGGTCGATACATATTTCTCCCCTTTTCCCCGTCCCGCCTCGCGTTCTTCGGATGGCTCAGCGTCCATCCAACATTGCCCTTGCTGGGGCAGCCGCAGGCGAGCTGTGAAGCTGGAGGGGCGTAATGCCGGGAGCCTGTTGTTCCTATGGCCGAGGGCATGGGTCTAAGCTCGTCGGGCTCTAGTCTTTGAGTACAGTCATCCGCAAACAAGATCATGCGAGTCTTTGCAGCCCGGGGTGCGTTTATTCCGGAAGAAAGGGTAAAGGCTCAGAAGGTCAGTCGTTTGGAAAGAGTGCGTTCTGCGAGAGGACTTTATGCATGGACGGGTTCAGCATTGTGGCGAGGGGTTTGGAAAGCAGGGTTGGAGGTATGGGCGCAGTAGTACCATGTGCTCTTTGTTGAAGCTCCGTTGTAAAGCGAGCCCAACATGGATTGTAAGGCACCGTTGTTTTATGCAGCAATCTGGGCCCAGGAGGTGGAAGGTCTGAGCATCTCGCCTCATGTCGCTCGAGGTATGGGCGAAGCCTAGTCATTCCTTCCGAAATTCTCGAGGAGGAAGGTTGTCGTCGCTGCGTCGTGCAGCTACGCCCGGTGCATGATGCAGTGTAGAACTGTCTTCGATATGTGCAGGGCTGATGAGGAGACATGCGATCTCTCTACAGGTCTGTGACAGGCAGCCAAGGCCAAAGCACCCAAATCCTTCTCCTCGGAAGGTGGCCTGGCACTACTGGGCTCCACCACGAATACCTTCGTCGCCGCCCCACAGGAGGTGCCGATCAGCAAGCAACCCGGGTTTCTCTACGTTCTCGAGATGCAGTAGTCTCGTCATCGTTCTGACCTCTGAGCTCCGGCCCTTCATGGCTTGCGCCCGCTGCATCCGCTTCGGGGTACCCAACCCGAATCCCCATGCTTCTACTTTCACATCACAGTCCTGAATCTTCCACGTGGGAGCGACTGTCAAAGTCGAAGCTTGTGACGAACAGGCCTCATTACCAAATTTCTAGCCGAGAGAGCCTTGAATCCTACAACTCTTTTCGGCAACACATCAGGCCACAGCGAATCGAAAGCGACATAAGTAACCATGTCTACTTCTTCAAGGCCTATTGTAGCCCGCCGCGTAGACACCGGAAATGGAAAAGTTGAAAACAGTTGGAGCAAATGGAGCCCCACACCCTCATCGTCGGCCTTAAGTCCCGTAGCCTCCGCGGGCGAAGGCCAGCGCACCGAGCCTGCGCGGCGCTTCCGTGGCCCAGTCTCAGGCTTGATCGGGCCGGTTTCTGATGGTTCCTCTGCTTCTGTGCAAGGCTCTTCAGCGTGCTTGCAGATGCTACAGCCACGATTTGTGCTGCTTTGCTGCTGCGACCAGCACCGATCCTCCTCTCTTTCCTCCTCGTGCTGCTGCTACTACTACTACTACTACTACTACTACTACTACGACGACGCCTACGACGCCTGCTACTGCCACTGCCACCGCTACTGCCACTGCTACCGCTACTACTGCTACTGCTACCGCTGCTGCTCCTGCTACTACTGCTACTGCTACTGCTACTTCTAGCTTCTGCTGCTGCTGCTGCTGCTGCTGCTGCTGCTGCTGCTGCTGCTGCTGCTACTGCTGCTACCTAGTACTAGTACTACTGCTGCTGCTGCTGCTGCTGCTGCTGCTATCACTGTTACTACTACTGCGATGACGACGGTTGTGCGCAACAATAACAGCTGCAGCACCACCAGCAACATCACCGGCACCGGCAGCACCAGCAGCACCAGCAGCACGGGATTCACCTCCAGCACCGCTGCCACCATTGTTGCCACTATCATAAGCACCACCTGCTTTACGAAGCCCTCGACAAGAGGACTCAAAAAGGCCTGTCCAGCGGTGCTTGTTATGATCGGACGAGCAGTTCGATTCGCTACGCCGCTTTTTGGTCATTCTTCAAATGCTGCTGCTTTTGCTACTCCTGCTTATTGGCTGACATTGCCACGACTGGAGCTGCAAAGACTTGCGAGGCCCAGGCTGCAGCTTCGGGAAGCTCCCTCCCCGCTTCTTGACAAGCCTTTGGTTTGAGTGACTGTCGTTGGGTCGGCGTATTTGCCTGTTCGCGTACGGGCACACGTCCCCTTGCACTTGCCGATGTCAGCCTTGAGTAAACACTCGCATCCGATCTTGGACTCCACCGTCTGAGGCTCTCGCCGCCGGCGGCGCTCTTGCCGCAGCGGCCGTGGCTGCCAGCCGCCCAGGCACTCCGTGCTCGTCCTTGCAGCATCATGTGTGACGGCGACGTTGATGATGGCTGTCTTCGCGCTACTCAAGCCAATGTCGGAACCCGTGCGGCAACTTATCGGGGCCTGCCAGAGCAGGACGCCAGACACGCAGCACCATCCTGCCTACGACTGTGGTGCCCGTGAAGGCCATTGTCTGCTTCAGATTAGACTCTTCGAAGGGTTTTGGCCCAGTGCTCACGCTTCAGAGTTGGTGTGCCTTCAGAAGGCCTGTCTGTACATCTTCAAGTTTGGAACACATACAAACGCGAGAGCCGCTGAGCAGAGGGATTCTTGTCGTCATGCCCGTTGTTGCAGTTGTTGCTGCGCCACAGATGCGATTATGCTTCGTTCTGATTGTGCAACATTGTGCAGGACAGCCGGGTGGCACGCAAGGCGCTGGACCAGTCCAGCCGATATGCAGACCTGTCTCTTGACGAGGCCACTCTGATCAAGTCACCCGGCATCAAGCCTTGTAGTGCTCTTAACAGTGCCGCCGCGCAAGGGGTCTCTTGTTTGATCTTGCAAGTCAGGCTTACCGATTGTAGGATGTGTTAACAATTTGCCTTAACCTATCGATGGTTCAGTTCTGAGGAACGGCAAGCACGTGCTGGTCGCTTACATCATGAAGCCCAAGGCGGGCTACGACTACCTGGCCACCGCCGCTCACTTCGCGGCCGAGTCCTCCACGGGAACCAACGTGAA